GGGTGGTATAAGTAACTGCCTCACGAATAAGTGTGTTAGTATGCGACTCTGATACTTTAAAGAAGTTTTCAGAGAATTTTTTAAGACATTGCTGGATTGTTGGGATTTCTAAATCCCGGTGAAGGTCGGCATTACGGACGTACCAAGGTGCGTTCGTAGCTCGACGACAGAAGAGGTTTTGAACTACTTGGAGTTCGTTAATAATTTTATCGTTAGCGTGTGCAAAAATAGGAGCCGAGTAAGTCATAACCGGTCGTATACAAACCTTATAGAGGGTTCGCTTATTTCGTAATGACATTACCGACCGTTCCGGCCGGCCCGTCTTATATATGATTTGGCCGTTGCTGGCCAGCGGACCCTTACCTCACCCCCGCGCCTTTCTTTATTGGTTAGATTTCTTACAAACTAATGAACAGACTTAAATATATAACATTCTTACAACTACTTATTAAACTAATACGTACATAACAGTTTTTCTATATACTAAAAGTTTAAACGTTGTTTTTTCAGCAACTTTGAGCTGAGGACCCTGCCCCGCGCCTCAGTACTATAAATATAAAACGTCGTGGCGCGATGGATAGCCTATCGTGGTATGCGTAATGCATATATTTTGGGCACCCTCTTCTGCTCATAAAACGCCTGAGCGCCGACACGGCTGAGTCGGCGCTTATCGAGTGGGCTACCTCTATGTGTATTGCTCGTGATGTCATGCAGGTGAATAACGCGCCATAGTGCTTTTCACGATGTCGTCCCACTGTGACCTCTATTGGCCCGAAGTAGTCCAGTCCGGTGTATGTGAACGGACGTGCGTGATGAGCGAGGCGTGCGGACGGCAGGTTTCCTGTAGATGGTGATGTAGGCTTGGCTTTTCTTAGACGGCACGGTAGGCAGCTTTTGACAACAGTTTTCACCACTGGACGTATTTTTCTTATGTACAATCTCTGTCTTAATTCGTTTCGACTGTTTCCACGCCTCCGTGATGCAACCTCTCGTGTACGTGTGCTATGTACAGACGAGTGTATGCGTGCTTCCCGTCTAGTATGGGAGGGTCGTACGTGTCCTCCTCCACTTCTGTTGCTGCTTTTATTCGACCTCTGATGCGTAGGGTCCCCTCTTCATCGACGTATGTGCTCAGGTGGCCTAATTTGTCGTCACCTCCCGGAACACTTCCGTTGGTGATCCTCTTGAGCTCCTTTGTGAAGCTTTCCCGCTGACTGGCTTGCACCCACAGTTGTTCGGCTCTTACGTGATAAGCGGCCGGTATTCCTCCAAGCGATGAGACAGTAGGAGTTGCCTTTTTCTCCTTGGCGGGGTTGTTGCGTTTGTTTGTTCTTTGCCAGCCAGGGTCGCAATCTTGTCTTACTCTGTTGCGTTTACGCCCAGCCTTCACAACGTGCTTGTTTGGTCTGCACGTGTCGATGAATAGGAGGACTCTCGCTGTGGCCCTTATGAGGCGAATTCATTTCGAAAATCTTTCTATTTGTGGCAGATGTGTTGTTGGCGAGTCTTCCCTTTTAACTGCGATGTTACATACTTCTCGTTCTTCCCCGGTGTCGTATTGTGTCGTTTTCTCTTCCTGCGGCCATTCTGCTGGTGGACGTTGCAGAAACGGGGGCCCTCGGAACCACCGGTGCGACTCGTCGAACCTTTCTGGCGTGGATCGGGTCGCGTCGTCTGTCACGTTTTCTTTAGATGGTAGCCAACGCCATTCGTTCTTTTTGGTTGTATGTTCTATCTCCGACAGGCGATGAGTTGCGTTTCGCGGTTGCGTTCTGCAGGTTGCCGCCGTGTTTGGCATTACAGGTCGGCGGATTGGGACGGAATGCGGTCTTTCTTTGCATCCTATCCATGGGGGCGGGATTGCTTCTCGCCGGATGATCCCAGCGCTGTTGCTGACTCTGTCACTGATGTGGTGCTACAAGGAATGGAACTATTTATTCCATCATCTGTGGTACCCATCGGAGGCAGATCTCAGCCGTGGTTTGGTGGCTCCTGTAAGACTGCATTACGCAGTAAGCAGGAGTGTTATCAAGCCTGGGCTGCGGCTTCGGTGACTCGGGATGTAAACACCAGCACACTTAGTACAACTTCCAGTATAACCAGTATAACTTCGCCTCCAGGTCCTTCAAAAGAGTTATTGCCAAGGCAATGTCAGAGCACATAGGCAGAATTGGCGAGAAACTAGTTCGCCTTCCTTTCGGCAACCCGTGCATTCTGGTCTCTCGCCAAAGCTGTCCAAGGAAATTTCTGTAAGCCATCACTACCATCTCTGCACAGGGAGGACGACTCACTGGCCCAAGACGCAAAAGACAAAGATGACCTTTTAAGCTCCCTTTTTGCGTCCAACTCGACTCTTGATGACGGGGGGAAAACACCGCCGACCATCCCGCGGTGTGAGTGCTCCATGCCGGATGTGCTGTTATCACAGCGCTCGGTTCGCAAAGCACTTCTCTCCCTAGACATCCAGAAGTCGAGTGGCCCTGACGGAATCCCCCCAATTGTGCTGAGGACGTGTGCTCCGGAGTTGGCACCTGTCCTAACGCGTCTTTTCCGGTACTCCTAATCCCAAGGCGTAGTCCCGAATTCATGGAAGACAGATTTTTTCCACCCGATCCCTAAAAAAGGCGACCGCTCAGACCCGTCCAACTATAGGCCTATCGCGATCACCTCCTTGCTCTCCAAAATAATGAAATCCATTATTAACTGCCAGCTCATCCGGTACCTTGAGGATCACCAGCTGATTAGTGACCGCCAATACGGTTTTCGTTGGGGTCGATCAGCTGGTGATCTTCTGGTCTACCTGACCCATAGATGGGCGGAGGCAGTAGAGTCCAAGGGGGAGGCGTTGGCCGTTAGTCTAGACATTGCGAAGGCCTTCGATCGGGTTTGGCACAAAGCGCTTCTTTCGAAGCTCCCTTCCTATGGGCTTGCCGAGAAATTGTGCAATTGGATCACCAGCTTCCTTGCAGATCGGAGCATCAAGGTCGTTGTAGACGGTGCATGTTCTGACTACAAGCCTATTAACGCTGGTGTTCCACAAGGCTGTGTGCTATCACCAACGGTGTTTCTTCTGCATATCAATGATATGTTGCTAACTGGTAACATTCATTGCTATGCGGATGACAGCACTGGTGATGCTCTATACACCGGCCGTGCCAATATTTCTCGGGAAAACGTCGCCAAGTACCGGAACAAATTTGTGTCTGAAGTCGAGTCTTTGCTGAACAAAATCTCGGATTGGGGGCGACTAAATCTAGTCCAGTTTAATCCTCAGAAGACACAAGTTTGCGCGTTTACCGCTAAAAAGAACCCCTTTGTCGTATCTCCTCAGTTTCAAGGCACTCCCCTTCTTGCCTCAGCCAGTATCGGTATCCTCTGAGTCGACATATCGAGTGACGTGCAGTTTCGTGGTTACTTGGAAGAGAAGGCCAAATTGGCCTCTAAAAAGCTTGGCGTGCTCAGCAGAGCGGGACAGTATTTCATGCCGGCACATCGCCTGCAACTTTACAAGGCGCAGGTTCAGCCTCACATGGAATACTGTTCCCATCTCTGGGCAGGGGCTCCCCAGTGCCAGCTCCTTCCACTTGACCGCATCCAGCGCAGAGCGGCTCGAATCGTCGACGACCGAACCTTTTCCGATCGGCTCGATTCATTGGCACTGCGAAGAGATGTTGCATCCCTTTGCATTTTCTTTCGCATATACCATGGGGAGTGCTCTGAGGAATTGTTCGGATTAATCCCAGCCGCCAAATTTCACGAACGCACATCGCGGCAGAACTCCCGATACCATCCACACCATCTGGATGATTGTCGGTCCACCACTGTGCGATTTAGAAGATGTTTTCTTCCTCGCACGACGTCCTTGTGGAATCGATTACCATCAGCGATTTTTCCGGACCGATACGACTTAGGGACCTTCAAGAAAAGAGCGTACTCCTTTTTAAAAGGCCGGCAACGCATCTGCAATTCCCTCCCTGGTGTTGCAGTTGTTCATGGGCGGCGGTAGTCACTTACCATCAGGTGAGCCGCATGCTCGTTTGCCCCCTCTCCTATAAAAAAAAATCTGATAAGGAACTTTGTTCCAAAAAATGTTACATTGCTTAGCATGCATAAAAGTATACTTAGTCATTAAAATTAAAAAAAGAATAATGGTTATTTTCAAAAGATGTGAATAATTTTTAGAATTCTCGGAACTAAGAACCGCTCGAAAATATTTCTAAAGCTTCTTTTTAAATAACCATCAGCAATGGTATGCGCAAAAATAGTTTGAATATGAAGAAGCGTCCGCCTTGGCTTCGCCAATAAATGATCAATATTTTATAAGTTTTTCCAATTCTCAAAAGTATCTTCTAGTTGTCCGGATAAAATATAAGCTTAGATCGCTCCTGACGTAGCCCCCTATTTTTTATGACTTTTCATCCCAATCACTTCAGCTATTTAGAGGATAAGCACGGACAAAATTTTAACTGTCTTTTTATATATAAATAGGTTATTCATGTATAAATAATTCTCAGATCCCGATAAAAGACAGTTATTTCGATAGTGCAGATAAACTCTTCATTTATATATATATATATATATTTATTTATTTATTACTCTGCTGATTAACCGTAGACAACAGGCTATCGTTTGTTTAACAAACATATTAAGTCAACTGATTTTACATTATTTAAGACTGTGCGTCTTTACTCAACATACTTATGGTAATACTGTTGGTTTATGACTGTTAAAATATTTAACAGTTGAGATTGTGTTTGAATAATAAGGAAATCCTTTATAAGTGTACGAGTAACGTAGGGTATGTATATATACATGATGAGTTTATAAATCGAGACTGCAAACATTTTTGTTAAATTGTACATACGGGTATAATAATTTACTATTATTATACTATTTACATTGTATTATGTATAATATATAATATGTTGATTGTAGAATGAGTCGGCTTGCCCGGGGAAGGACCACGCTTTCACAGAATACCAGCGTGAAATAACAGCTCAATGCTGTGCTGGCTACGTATGGTGAGTGAAGAGAACCGGATACTGGTACAAGATATCACATTAGCACTATTTACGCGAAACAACGCACTACATCTTAGACCAGAGGTAACCATGCTTCTGAATTTTGGTTCCAAATCGATGATAGATGTAGGTGAGCTACAGGGGCCACTTATCATCATGTGGATTATGTGCTCGTTTGTTCTTAGTTTTTCTTATGTTTAAAAGTATTTGCCAAAAAGAGATGCGGCACACCACCTCATCGTTACAGCTCGTAGCAAGTACGATTTCGGCATCGATTTTGCCCAGACACACTTTTCTGCCGACTTCCAAAAAGGTGACGGTACTCAATTCGACTATATATTTTTTATGTGTGTTACCTCATAACCTTTGACTGGGTGAACCGATTTCCGATGATTCTTTTTTTATATGAAAGCTGTTACTTCTCGTGTGGTCCCATATGAATTTGATCAAGGTCAGACCAATAGTTTTTGAGTTATTCTTAATAAATTATATTGAAGTCGGCTGTACAAAATTTTAATTTTAAATTATTGTATAAGAATTTCGTATAAGCTCAATAAATATACTATCGACAGCGAGAGGCTGAAAACCTCTGGTACAGTGATCGACAATCCGCGTTTGATTACCTTGACTCAACCATCAAACAACAAGTTCCGTATCCTTGATTTCTAGTGGCAGGATTCCTTTATTACTGAAACCATCCGAGGTAGCTGGCAATATCTCACCTGTTTCTTCCGCCAAATGACAATACTTGCACTGCTGCGCTTCGGTCTGGAGGTTCTGGCTCTCTGCCAGTATAATTAAAGGCTATGAGGCATTCCATCTTAGTCCTCAGAGGTGACAACGCATCTGTAGCTTTCTTTGTTCGAAGTTTACTACAGATGTCCATGGACTGGAGTAGCCACTTGCCGTCAGGTGGACTGTACGTTTATTTATCGCTTCCGTTTTCTAAAAAAATATATGTAACATAATGCCTCGTGCATTATTTTAGTATGAAGTTGCACATCATTATTTAATTATTTAATTTTAGACAAGATAATATGTTGATACATACTAAGACTTTTTAATAAGTATAAACCATTAATTTCCTTTTTTTCTATTTCTAGGGTTCCGTACCTCAAAAGGAAAAAACGGAACCCTTATAGGATCACTTTGTTGTCCGTCTGTCTGTCTGTTTGTCAAGACCCTTTTTCTCAGGAATGCGTGGAGGTATCAAGCTGAAATTCATATCAAATATTCAAGTCTACTGTCCCTTGGAGCTGTAAAAAAAATCAAACTTCTAAGCCAACGCAATCAAAAGATACAACCGTTTATGTCGCAAATTTTCTACATTCGCAAGGGAATCAAAACGTACAGGGTACTTCCCGTGAATTCAGAATCTTAAAATTTAGTACGAAGCAACTTATTATAGCAAAGATAAAGGAAAAATTGCATAAGCATAAATTTTTAGTTACACCATATAATAAAAATAATTTTAATAATTTTAAACTCATATACCTACGGATTTGTTCGGAACCCTCGGTGCGCGAGTCCGAATCGCACTTGGCTGGTTTTTTTTATTACCTTTCTGCTAATGAAGAGGATAGTATGCATGTTATTTTTAGATAACTAATGTTATGTATTTCCTTCCTATATTTCATGTGAGTACATTTACATATTATTTATTTTAGCTCTCTAATTCAGATTTAAACAACACGTGAAAACAAAAAAATACGATAATCTTTTTTTTGGTCATCCTAAATCACAAATACCTGAATTGGTAAAAGTTACTCGAAAATAAAATTTTATGCTGGGCTTTAATTTTATTTTTCTACTGTGACAGCTTTTATCTCGCTTTGATAAAAAATTAAGGTGTATTTAAACCATTGTACAAACGGAATAGTTTTGTGGCTTTGTTCTGACAAAATAAAGGATGACATATTTATTAAATATAATAAGTAAAACCATCTCTAGAGCGTTTTACAGAAACGACACTGAATCAACGACGTGACTGGCGGCATCGTTGAACATTTACATCATACAATAAAGCAAGTAGAATAGTCCAGTCAAATAAGGTCTGAAATCAAAATGTTTTTTTTTTAATAGGATAGGGTGACAAACGAGCACACAGTTCACCTGATAGTAAGTGTTTGCTGTGACCCATAGACATCTACATCTATCCTCAATAAAGTATCAAAATGCACATGCGTTATTACCCGTGAGGACTAAGATGGAATGCCTCTTTTCCAGTAAAAAGGGTCTCCGGTTCTCTACACTCGCCATACGAAACACAGCAGTGTTAAGCTGCTATTTCACGCTAGTATTCTGTGAGAGCGTGGTCCTTACCCGGTCGAGCCGGCCTATTCGTGCTACAACTATACTACTAATATATGTAGTTGCAGCATGGCTACACCAAGTGCAAAATTTATCGATAAATGCAAAGTTGATACCCAACTTCGCATTTTGGATATAATGTAGTATTAATGATACAAAACTAATTTGTAAAGGTTTTTGTGTCCGCAACCCCCGGCAAGGGTTAAAAAAAAATGTCAAAAGTGGTTTTTCGCAATTACTCAAAAACGGTAAAAATTAGACAAAAATGTTCTCTTAAAAATGAGTAGAAATTAAAATTTTACATTCTTTACAAGGTTTAGTGATTTTTTCCTCTGGTCAAATTTAATCGAGTTAGGGAGGTTTTCAGTTGAGTAGAAAAATAAGCGATTTTTTTAAATTGCTTAAAAATCTAACCTAAAGCTTAGATTTTAAAAGTTTAAAATCAAAATTTTGGAGACAATTTTTTTTATTGTTATAAAAATATAACAATTTAAAATTTTCAAATTGATGCATTATTTATCTTTTGCCATATTTGGGTTTCTCGTAAAATTTCCTGAATTTGCGATTGAAAACAGTTTTTTCCTGGTATATTTCTTACTGTTTCCCGTGGCTCGTCTGAATACTTTACGCATGGCGTAAACGTGATGGTTATACCCGCCATCTATCGAATGCCATAAGCGCTTTTTGGTATATCCCATAGTCGCCACTTAAGACATTCTCGAAAACAAATTGTGTGATGGATTCTCTTACACCGTCATCATAAGGCACGCCTTACATAGAACTAATATAATAAAGTATTTGTGTTAATAAAAATATATTATCGCGTTTAGTGGTAAGTTCTATTACTCATCGAGTTATCGGGTAACTAATGTTTTCAATATCCTGATGTCAAGTTAACCCATATAATATTTATTTTGGTGCGATCAACGCAATATGTAAGCTTAGTGTTGTCCCGATACTGTTATCGGGAAGAGTTGCAGTGGTATGGTTGGGTTTGGATTCAATTTATTAGTTTTATTAATTATATGTTGGCACTACTCTTATTTACAGCCAGTATCTGCATTTAAAAAAGAAGTTGTATTAGCTTCTCTACCACCAACAGAATCATCATTGCGTGAACAGAAAAAACTTGTATACAGGGTATTTTTGGAACGCTCCCGAAAACTAAGACAGGCGACAGCACAAAGTATACCTTTGATCATGGGTTACAAATAAAGTCGATCCTGATGAAAAAATAATCATCTTTTAACAACGTTTTATTAGCTTTATTCACGCGCCATCATGTTAGTACAGCTAAATGAAACGATAATTTCATAAAAAATATCATGAAAATACTGAAACATAAAACCAGCAGTGGAAACTGAATTGATATCACCTGACTAATGGAGGTTAATGTACGCGCGAACGGTGAAAAACAAACGCTGGCCTTGAACTTGGGCACTGAGCGATTTATCACATATTGGTACGAAAGGCGCGCGACGGGGGAACAATCCGCCAGTATTAGTGTGCCTGCATGCTATTGGTTCCCGCGCTTTGTTCGCTCCAAAAATACAGTCGCATACACAGCTTACTTTGCGACTCGCGACGATGTTTTAAAAAGGAAGGAAAGAAAAATTATTTATATCTATTGTTTTATGACTAAACTAGTGATCGAAAAGGTAAATATGATAGGAGAAGGTGAATGGGGAAAATTGTGCAGTAAAGTTAAAAGTGTGGAGGAAGAATACCGAAAAAATTACCATGTGATCGACCTGATGACGGAAGCTCAAGCGAAGATGAAAGTGATGATGAAGTAGCATCCAGTAACACCAACACACCATTAACATCTGGCTCCCATGTGACCCAAGACGTCATAATGGACGGCGTGTTACCCTTAGCTAAAGTTTTCTTGTTACAAACTACATATTTTACGATAGAAATAACAAATAATGCTCATGTAAACATTATCCATTTTTAATTCCCACCTCTTCCAAAGTTCTAAGTAGCTAGTAAAACACCTATTATGATTCTACATTAAAACAATTAATTACTATAATATTATAAAACAATAGCCCAATACCATGTAGTACTTTAGAACGCGACTGTACCCACACCCCCTCCGCTATCAACCTGTATCTAGCTCGGTACGAAACAATGCTGCGGTCGTAAGAAAAAAGGGCGCATCTAACAATTTATGAATAAATGAGTTAAATATACCATTCGATTCATGATAAGAAGGCGCATCTACTAAATTTTTTTAGTATTCACAAATATCAATATTTTAGAAATTATCGTAAGAATTTTAGACGTAACTGTTGATCACAGATGACTTTTTTTAGTAGAAAAGACATATACAAATTCAACATAAAAGAAAAGACTTATTTAACCAGTTGCTACGTCATCTTTAACAATATTTGCATCGATTACTTAAATTTCAATTATTCTTGGTCTTGTCTTATTATTCTATATCTTATTATTAAGAGCTTATATCTTATTGTTAAGAGCTGGTGTTTCACATGTGGTCCCATATAAATTTGATCGAGGTCAGACCAATCGTTTTTGAGTTATCCTTAATTATTTATATTAAAGTCGGTTGTACAAATTTTTTAATTTTTAATTATTATCGTAGTAAGTCTTGTATGATATCCTCTTTAAAATCATTACTCAAGAGTTGCGGGTTGTTATTTTTGTGTCTCACTACCAATGCTTTTCTAATATTTATTTAAAAAAAAGTAGTAAATTACTATTAGCGTCCTTTCAACTTCAAATGACCTTTCCAAAATATGTAAAATTGTTAAATGAATGGCAGTTTTTTTTAAATTTATTAGGTTGGAAAGACGCAAATAGTTATATGCGTCTTTCCTTCGATGTTTTTGTGTTGCCAGGTGTATTTTTTAAGCTAAGATGAAAAGGAAAATTCGTTTTATTTAAATAAATAAACAAATTATCAAAAAATTTGTTCGTCCTTAAAATCTTCATGTCTCTACGTATATATTTCAATTTTCATATAGATACCTTTTAATATATTTTAGACACAGGGTCTGAAAGAAAAATTCATCAATTTATTTTTTATTTCCATTTTACGTTTTTGTTAGTTGCGTCCTTCTTTATGTAACCCGACGACGGCAGAGTGTAACCCGGCCGGCTCGTGTCGCCTCACGCTGTGACGCAGTAGACAAAGAGTATAATAACTGTCCTAGCATTAGGTTTCAGTTTTGTTGGGGTTCGTTATTAATTGTAGTTTTTGAAACAGTTCCGTGTTGATTTTGTACACGCGTGCGCGAGCGACAGCTCAATCGTATTGTTATTACTTGTGATTACGTGTTGGTATTATTCTTGTTGTTACGTTTTTTGTTTTAATAATGCTTAACGCGTACTTTTATAGTGATTGTGAATACAGCAACATGTTATCCGAACCCAGGTACACGAAGTATTGCCAAATAAATTGTTAAGACGTCGGGATGCGTTTGTGCAGTGCACAAAGTGTTGAAGCGTAACCGAATGCGCCCATACAAATTGCACAAAGTGCAAGCTTTAGTTCCCGGCGATCACGACCGCCGACGAGTTTTCTGCCGTTGGTTATTATACCAGCGACAACGTGTGCCTGGTTCCATTGAGCCTGTTGGTCTAGTGGTTAGTGACACTGACTGCTACGCCGGAGGTCGTGGGTTCGATTCCCACCCAGGACAAATGTTTGTGTGATGAACACGATCATTTGTTCTGTGTCTGGGTGTAATTTATCTATAATATGTATGTATTTAGAAATATATAAGTATGTTTATCAGTTGTCTAGTACCCATAACACAAGCTCTGCTTAGCTTGGGACTAGATGGCGTTGTTTGATAGTTGTGGAATATTATTATATTATTATTGAGCACATTATCTGGACAGATGAGTCGACATTTACCAGAAACGGCCTGTGGAACCGAAGAAATACACACGTGTATTCAGAGGTTAACCCGCACGCTGTTCGACAAACCGGGCACCAAACCCGATGGTCGGTTAACGTATGGGCAGGTTTATTTAAGGATCGCATACTGGGACCAGTGTTTCTGCCACAGCGACTGAACAGACAGCGATACCATGTCGTGAGGTTCGTCCGTGAGCGCCTCAATGAGCTATTTGATGATCGCTGGATCGGCAGACTAGGACCACACGCTTGGCCACCTCGCTCACCATATCTGACCCCGTTAGACTTCTTTTTGGTATGTGAAAGAAAGGGTTTTTAATCGTGAGTGTGATAGTGCTGACAAAATGCGCCAAAGGGTCGTGGATGCTTTCGAGAAACTATGTACGGACTGTGTCGAAGACCACACGATGATGCCCCGCCTGCACCCAAATCTACCTTGAAATGAATGGAGCACAATTTGAGCTGCATCTCATAAGACCACGGAGGATTTAGAGCGGTAAGCTGTTTCATAACTATTTTTTTTAAATAACTTAGTACTGAACTAATCTGAATAGGTACATAACTGAATACATGAGAATAATAAACATACATACACGATGAATAAAAACGCATGACTCCAACCTTGGTTACATTTCATTTAAGTATTTTTTCATTAGCGTATGTAGTGGTATGGCCCGCTAGTTGCGGGCCGCGCGAATTTGCGTTCGCGAGTACATTGACCTTTAGTCAGGTGATACAATTCAGTCATTCCACTGCTGTTTTTATGTTTCAGTATTTTCATGATATTTTTTATGAAATTATCGTTTCATTTAGCTGTACTAACATGATGGCGCGTGAATAAAGCTAATAAAACGTTATTAAAAGATGATTTTTTTTTCATCAGGATCGAATTTATTTGTGACCCATGATCAAAGGTATACTTGGTGCTGTCGCCTGTCTTAGTTTTCGGGAGCGTTCCAAAAATACCCTGTATTATCAGATTCAAATATGGTTGGCTAATTCTGCTGGTATACTTTTAAAACTCTCATAAGTAAGCTTTCAAATTAATATATATTTATTTATTTACTTTTATCTTTGAATAAATTAAATAATAAAATTAATAACCTTCACAAAATCGATTATTTTTAAATAATACAAAGAAATAATTAATTTTCTATAACACCCCTTGAAAATTTAAATTAAATCAGGATTTTGAATTTATTTAATTCAAGAAAACTTTGATGAATTGTATTAATTGCATATCTGGGTCGATTACAAATTGCGAAATTCAAAAAATAACTTAACATGTTTTTTTTAATTATTTGTAAGCCAAATGTTTATAAAAGTAATTAAGTTTCAAAATCAATCCCAACATGTCAAGTTATTTTTTACGAATCATGAAATGTAGAATCGATATAATAGATTTATACTCGTCGGGACACGTAAAAAAAATCTTGAACTTATTTTTAAGAAATAATAATTTAAATAAAATACTTCCTGGTTTCGAATTCAATCACCAAGTAGGCAAAAATAACCTGATCTATTTTAATGAACACATCGTAAAATAGAGAGAGTGCGAGAATTATGATTCTCCGAAGATGCCTTCTCACTCGGACCTCGTGTAGTAATATACAAGTAAGCATACGCAGTATACGAGTAAGCAATAGGCCTCTCTTTTTAACTCGGGACTTAATACAACGGCGTAGGATTTGAAAAAGATTTTATACCTGTATAAATTCCCACCTGCCGAAATATACCAGAAAACTATTGAGGTATATACAGATACTTTATTGAGGATAGATGTAGATGTCTATGGGTCACAGCAACCACTTACCATCAGGTGGACTGTGTGCTCGTTTGTCACCCTATCCTATTAAAAAAAAAAGCATTTTGATTTAAGACCTTATTTGACTGGACTATTCTACTTGCTTTATTGTATGATGTAAATGTTCAACGATGCCGCCAGTCACGTCGTTGACTCAGTGTCGTTCGTGTAAAACGCTCTAGAGATGGTTTTACTTATTATATTTAATAAATATATCATCCTTTATTTTGTCAGAACAAAGCCACAAAATTATTCCGTTTGTACAATGGTTTAAATACACCTTAATTTTTTATCAAAGTGAGATAAAAGCTGTCACAGTAGAAGAATAAAATTAAAGCCCAGCATAAAATTTTATTTTCGAGTAACTTTTACTAATTCAGGTATTTGTGATTTTACGATGACCAAAAAAAGATTATCCTTTTTTTTTGTTTTTACGTGTTGTTTAAATCTGAATTAGAGAGCTAAAATAAATAATATGTAAATGTACTCACATGAAATATAGGAACGAAATACATAACTTTAGTTATCTAATAATAACATGCATACTATCCTCTTCATTAACAGAAAGGTAATAAAAAAAACCAGCCAAGTGCGAGTCGGACTCGCGCACCGAGGGTTCCGAACAAATCCGTAGGTATATGAGTTTAAAATTATTAAAATTATTTTTATTATATGGTGTAACTAAAAATTTATGCTTATGCAATTTTTCCTTTATCTGTGCTATAATACGTTGCTTCATACCAAATTTTAAAATTCTGAATTCATCTGCCGCGATGTGCGTTCGTGAAATTTGGCGGCTGGGATTAATCCGAACAATTCCTCAGAGCACTCCCATGGTAGATGCGAAAGAAAATGCAAGGGGATGCATCATCTCTTCGCAGTGCCAATGAATCGAGCCGATCGGAAAGGGCTCGGTCGTCAACGATTCGAGCCGCTCTGCGCTGGATGCGGTCAAGTGGAAGGAGCTGGCACTGGGGAGCCCCTGCCCAGAGATGGGAACAGTATTCCATGTGAGGCCGAACCTGCGCCTTGTAAAGTTGCAGGCGGTGTGCCGGCATGAAATACTGTCCAGCTCTGCTGAGAACACCAAGCTTTTTAGAGGCCAATTTGGCCTTTTCTTCCAAGTGACCACGAAACTGCACGTCACTCGATATGTCGACGCCGAGGATTCCGATTCTGGCTGAGGCAAGAAGGGGAGTGCCTAGAAACTGAGGAGATACGACAAAGGGGTTCTTTTTAGCGGTTAACGCGCAAACTTGTGTCTTCTGAGGATTAAATTTTTAGTTTTAGATTCTAGATTTAGTCGCCCCCAATCCGAGACTTTGTTCAGCAAAGACTCGACTTCAGACACTAGTTTGTTCCGGTACTCGGCGACGTTTTCCCGAGAAATATTGGCACGGCCGGTGTATAGAGCATCACCAGTGCTGTCATCCACATAGCAATGAATGTTACCAGTTAGCAACATATCATTGATATGCAGAAGAAATAGCGTTGGTGATAGCACACAGCCTTGTGGAACACCAGTGTTAATAGGCTTGTTGTCAGAACATGCACCGTCTACAACGACCTTGATGCTCCGATCTGCAAGGAAGCTAGTGATCCAATTGCACAATTTCTCGGGAAGCCCATAGGAAGGGAGCTTCGAAAGAAGCGCTTTGTGCCAAACCCGATCGAAGGCCTTCGCAATGTCCAGACTAACAGCCAACGCCTCCCCCTTGGACTCTACTGACTCCGCCCATCTATGGGTCAGGTAGACCAGAAGATCACCAGCTGATCGACCCCGACGAAAACCGTATTGGCGGTCACTAATCAGCTGGTGATCTTCAAGGTACCGGATGAGCTGGCAGTTAATAATGGATTCCATTATTTTGGAGAACAAGGAAGTGATCGCGATAGGCCTATAGTTGGACGGGTCTGAGCGGTCGCCTTTTTAAGGGATCGGGTGGACAAAAGCTGTCTTCCATGAGTTCGGGACTACGCCTTGGGAGTAGGAGTACCGGAAAAGACGCGTTAGGTCCGGTGCCACCTCCGGAGCACACGTCCTCAGCACAATTGGAGGGATTCCGTCAGGCCCACTCGACTTCTGGATGTCCACGAGAGAAGTGCTTTGCGAACCGAGCGGTGTGAGAACAGCACATCCGGCACTCACACCGCGGGATGGTCGGCGGTGTTTTCCCCCCGTCATCAAGAGTCGAGTTGAATGCAAAGAGGGAGCCTAAAAGGTCGGCTTTGTCTTTTGCGTCTTGGGCCAGTGAGTCGTCCTCCCTGTGCAGAGATGGTAGTGATGGCTTACAGAAATTCCCTTGGACAGCCTTGGTGAGAGACCAGAATGCACGGGTTCCCGAAGGAAGGCGAACTAGTTTCTCGCCAATTCTGCCTATGTGTTCTGACTTTGCCTAGACAATAACTCTTTTGAAGGACCTGGAGGCGAAGTTATACTTCTTTTCATGTGCGCTGGTGTTTACATCCCGAGTCACCGAAGCCGCAGCCCAGGCTTGATAACACTCCTGCTTACTGTGTAATGCAGTCTTACAGGAGCGACCAAACCAAGGCTGAGATCTGCCTCTGATGGGTACCACAGATGATAGAATAAATAGTTCCATTCCCTGTAGCACCACATCAGTGACAGAGTCAGCAACAGCGCTGGGATTATCCG